ATTAAGAGAACATTACATTATGTTTTAAAGTAAATTGCCAAACAAACATGTTGGAGCCAATAAAAAAAATAAAAAGCTTCACTTCGGTAATGAAGGGTTATATTCAAGAATGTAAGGGGCAAATCAACAGTCCAAAATGTTGCTCATCAGTTGCTTTGTCATATACAAATACACATAATTTATTAAAACTGCTGTAAATGTATTTTCTCTTGATCAAATAATCGATTACTCCACTGACTGTTTCCTCTTTTTTTTGTACAATGTTTACTTTGCAACACTACCCAGCTTAATCACTTTATTCCATTCAATATTAATATTCACTCACTTTAATGATCTTGATGACCAACATCAAGTGTACATTAGTCTTACTAGTGTGCTCCACATTGTAGTGGTATAACATATAAAAACACCCAGACACGAGGACAAATAACAGAGTAGTGAGTAAACACATAGGCTGCCTAACCTAAATTGAACTCCTCTCCTTCCTGTCTCAGGGATGATGTTATTTATAAACCGGATTATGACTACTGAGTGTTATCTAACCTGTGGTGAGCCGGCAGCAGTGTAGTCCACGTTGGACGAGCGTCTCTTCTTCTGCACAAAGATTGCTTTCCTCTTCTTCCTGCGGCGCGTCGGCTTGGCCTCCGTCGCCTCCTCTCCAGCCATCGGCTTGGAGAGCTTCCTCTTCTTCCCGTAGTAATAAGCTGCAAACACAGCAGATGTTGAAAACAATACACACCACAAAACACATCCTAGCTGCTCAGCACCGGCAATTATACACTCTTTGATTTAGGGTTGAAAGAAGTGGAAGAAAGACTCAGATCCTTTCAATCAGTCGCTCTTGCACTCCATTACAAGTCGTGCATTTAAAACGTTACTTAAGAAAAAGCACAGAAGCATCCTCAAGTGTACTTCAGGTGTCAAAAAACCCAGTAGTGATGCGTTTAATGGCACACACTCACTGTATTTGGTTTTGGTCTGGACGGAGCAGTTCTCCGGGCACGTGTCGGCGATGAGGAGGGGGCTGAAGAGGTTCGGGCAGCACTGCAGCTTCACGCACACTTTACGACAAAAGTCTGCGATCTGGTCTGCGAGGCGCACGATGCGGATGGTGGAGCGATAGGTTTTTCCTTTATATCTGCAGGTATAGAAAGAGAGAGGTTTTGATGACATGGGATGCAGGTGTAACGTATTATTGTAAGAAGTTAGCATGGCTAGGTTTACCGCGGTTATATTCAATGGGAAAATTGCAGGAAATAGGCTCTGTGATATCTCCACATATCAACTCCACTTGTTGTGATTTTTGAACTGCACTCGCCAGACTGAAATTCTCTTCAGCTTGTATTAACCACAGACCTTATCTCAGGCCTCTGAGGACTCATCCCTGCACCTCTCTGTAGTGGTGCAGGGATTAGACTTGTATTCATCAGAACAATGCATAATGATAGAGATACATCAGAGATACATCAGTGATACATCAGAGCGTTTGACACTGAATGATGATTGCCCTTGCAGTTATGATGTGAACGTGGGCTGTTTTAGTGATTTTAGATCATCCGGTTGATGAGGATTACACAGGCAATCTCCTGTTTAATGGCAAAGGTTAGGAAGGGTGATCCGATCGTCTGGCAAACGCTCAAAGGACAAATCTGCCCTGATCTCATGTGAGTGACCTCTTTTCTTCCTTTTCATTGCTTTGTTTATCAACTGATTTTCTGATTTTCTTCAGCACAACAATGTAAAGTCTGCTCAAGAATCAAATGTTGCTCCTTGCTTAGTTAACTATCCTCGAAGGACTTCACTGTCCGAGCAGCGAAAGCCCGACAGATAATAGTTCTTCCTTTTGTCGAGGTGTGAAAACATCCATGCATGAATGTGAACATGATGCTGCGCAGCCGAACACAGGTGACTCACTACAACCTCTGCGTGGCCAACTCTTCCTCGTTTCAGCCAGATATATAAAAAAAAACATGGCCGTTTTTGATTAGAAAACACAGAGCATGCAGCCTGGAGCTGTGGAATAATTTGGCTCTGTGCACACAGCAGTGGAAGGAAATCACACACACACCACGGCAGGAACAAAGAAATACATTCAATGAAGAGGCTCTGTGAGGTCTGATTCTGATTTTAGGGAGGACGTGGTCTAAGCTTGATTTATGATGATTTATAATGCATAAAGTCATGTAGTTGTATTGCTTTATAGCGCCTTAAAATGACCAGAGCCATAACTTGACCGAATACAGTGCTGCAGGAATGCGTCCTAAACCTGGAAATTAGTTTTCGCACTTAAGGTTTCTCCGAAGTCAATTGTTTGTTGAACTTCATTTTGGTTTGATCTGCCAGTGAGCTTATTCTAGGCAATATTCCAAAAAGAAATGGAAAAATCCCATGGGCCTTTTGTCCAGGGTTATTATCTGTTCGGATTTATTACAAGAACGATCTCCTGCATGTCTTAGTATTTGGGGTTTTCCTCACTTGGCTTTGAGGGTCTCCTCTTGGCAGTCCCAGCTCTGATCCTCCAGGTCCTGCAGCTCCTTCAGGACTCGCCCGGGCTTGTAGGCGGCGTTGATCAGCATGCTGAGCAGCTGGAGGCAAAACACAAAAAATAAACTTCTGGTTCAAGAGAACAGGCTGGGAGTGTTACTCTAAAAATGTATTCAGTTACAATCAGTAATCACCTGTTAAAAAACCTAATCTAAGCATCACGTGATGAAAGTTACCTGTAACTGAACTGTATGTGAAGGAGAACAAACTCCGTCTTTAAACATGTGTGTGTGCAGACTGTCTCTGGAGAAATGACCAGTCTGTTTTGCTGAGCAGTTGTTACGGTGTGTACGAGTAAACACTCTTGACTGACAGCTCTGCACATTAAAATGAAGACACTGCAGGTGGTTAACAAGACATCGCTGTCTCACACTCTGTCTTCCACCCCCTCCCCCCCTTCCAATCCGCCTCCTCCCTCCCTTTGAAAGTGTGCGACTCTTTGATTAAAGCTGGCTCTTGACATCAGCCCACCTCTTTGAGGACCAGCGTGCACTTCCCGGGCCCGACAGCCTGCGGCAGCTCGGCGATGCGTCCCTTGTTGAGGTACGGGCCTGAGAAACAGCGGTGGTTGACAAAAATCTTTGAGCAGCAGTACCTGCCGTTAGCTGAGCCTGAAAGAGAGGACAGGCAGGGATTAGGTCATGTGGAAATACATGATGTGTGCAAGGTAAACATCTTCTCTTTTAGACTTACGAGTAATCTATAAGTAAATATCATCTCTATTTCCTGATACCTACGGGTCACAAGCACAACAATAAGTGAACAAAAACCTGTTCTAAGGAACTATTCATTAATACATAGACTCATGTAAATAAAAGCACGCCTAAACATGAACTGTGGTTTGTGGCGTTTGCGATCAAAGCGAAAACTTTGTAGTTGTTTTGAAGTCTTTGCTCAAATGTGTGTTTGTCCTCAGCTGCTGTAGTACATCCTTATTTGAGTTCTACACAGACTAGATACACACAAAAAAACATATATTATACTATAAGAGTATACTGACAAGTTTATTGCGTATATTGCGTTTTAAGCATAACTCATTCTTTTTATTTTGGATCGCAGACATTTAGCATCTTTTGGTTGCCAGGTCATATTGTGCAAGATGTTTATTTAAATTGTATATTTAATTACATTTCTAAATCAACATGTTGCTAAATCCTGACTTTTGTAAGGAAATGTGCAGCATAACCTTCCTTTACCCAACTGATCCCACTTTAAAGAGCACAGAGAAAAAGAAATGATTAACAGAAACATATCTCATGTAAAGTTACCATAATTGTATTTATCATAATTACTCATTATATTTCTTAAATGCTTGTATTTCAGTCGTATGCAATTCCAAGCATTGCACCACAGGGGTGAGTGCAGAGTCTGAGAGTGCATGCCCCCCCACCACCAACACCTGGAAACATAACTCTAGTGGTGAATAGTAATTAGGGGAGGGGGAATATGCATGAGCGAGTGGGAGGTTTTTAAACAGGGAACTTGGGGGCAAGCCGGGTCTCCTGGAAACAACCCTCAGCCCACCGCTCTCTTTGTGCTTGAACAAACGTGTTATTGTTTACATTCAGATCTACTGCAAACAGAATACCCTATCTCCCAGTTTGATCAGCTTAAAGGAACCCAAAACAAACACACATTTTGATAAATCAAATGTCTTTAGTTCTGCCTTTTTTTCTAGATTTTGGCTTTAATCCCTTAAACCCGGTTATATAAAAAGCGCTTACTATTTTGACATGTGTGTCCTTTGCATGGTAAAAGTGCACAATTAATATACTAAAGTACACAGTAAAGGTCAGATGTTGAAAGGTAAAAAGATGAAGCGATATTTTAAGTTTGACTTTTAAATGAATGGTTAGCATAACGTGCTGAACTACAGGCATTCCATGCACTTGGGGTTATTTTCCTTACATTACATAAACAAAATACACATGTAGGGGTTTCATTTATTAATATGGTCTATTTGTGGTCTGAGTTTCTCCTAAAACTACCCAAAGTTAGCATTAATGAATGCCTCATTGCATATTGAAACATCATTTTTTCAGATAGGTTTATTACAAAAACATATTATCTTAATGTTTTGATTTTTTTGTTACCTGTAGTATCTTTAATAATGTTTGGAATTTTACAAAACATATCTTGAGTTGTTCTTACTCTGAGACAGAAATCTCCTCTTACATACACAAAACCTTTCAGTTTCATCCCTCTCTATATTCTGAGAACTGAAGGCAATACAAGTTTGGGCATAATATTATATAATATGGCCAGTTGCTATTTATACGCAGACTATTTGAAAAAAGTGTTAACGAGTAAATAAGTGTGAATCATAGCCAACATTATTATAATTGTTTTGCACCTGGAAGACATTCTCCTTTATCTTGATATGTGATCACCTTTTCATCTGTGCCATTTGGGTCCTCTATGTTTTTACCCAGAGGAATGTGTCATTTGTGATATAGGGCTACATACATTCAATATGATGAATTGAAAGGAACACAAACCGGTGTTTACAAGTGTCTGCAGAGCGGGGTTTCCCCTCCACTCTCATCCCAGCAGCTCGTTAGCATTAATCACCGCAGATGAATCATGTGTAACGTGTGGCTGATTACCTGGATCCATGGCGACGGGCTGGCAGGAGATGACAGGAGTCGGCTCTAACACCGGGGACGGGGCCAACCTGCAGGAGAGACCAGAAATACCGTCAAATAATCCATAAGAAAATCCATGAAATAATCTAAGCAGACAGGAAACTACAGAGCTACTAAAGGGGGTTTGTTTTTTCTTGTTTTTTCCCATACATTATTCAATACATTAACCACTTTATTCAAAATCCAAACTATTTGTATTATTCAAACAATTTTACTTATGTATAAACCAAAACAAAGATTAAAATCCAAAGAGAATTTTTTTGACAGTATGTGAAGAAAAAAATAGTGTTAAAAAAAGATTGGTCCAAACATAATCTATAAATGAATACAATAAAAATACATTAAATTCAATTATGTAATAATCCTTTGAGAAGAAGCCTCTAATGTATAATTTGTTGAATGTTAAATTGAAAGAGTTATTTTCCTTGAATGTCTATTTAACTTTCATCCAAACTGCTCCTCAGTGGGGTTTCAGAGTGTTAATTAAGCGCTAAATGTTAAATAAAACTGTACAATTATATCACTTTCATTTGAACCACAGCCATCGCCTGTTTTAATTCAACGTGTTTGGAATAAAAAAAAGGTGATTCACTGCCTTTAGATTTTTCATCTTTCTACCTTTGAACAAAAATAATTTAACATTAAAAGTAAAGGGTTGAAGGACAGTTAAATAAAACTATGTATTGTCCATTAGCCTCATTTTAGCAGTGTGATATGACCACAGCTATCTTTAGAAAGTATTGATGAAGAGATTCCCCGAGGAGAGAAATGACATTGGTGTTGAGAACAGAGATCTGACAAAGTGTTGCTCAGAATCCCCCCCCCCCGTGTTCCCGGGCTGCGATCCCCAGCCTGACGCTGTAACATGTCATTTGTCAACAAAATCAATCAGCGCCGCGGGAAAGCTATTTCTGCCGCCATTTCAATGAATATCTCTGGAGTGACAGAGGGAGAAAAAACCTTGAGGCTCTTCCAAAGAAACCTTTACTTTTCTTTTTTGCCTCCCAGGTAGAAAGATGGAAAACAAACGGCCGTGAATGAACGTTTTTTTTATTTCAAACCCACTGAAGTAAAACAGTGTTTGCTGTTATTATTACAGTGATGTTTTAGTTCCATTCTAGCTGTCATGAAGCACTCTGAAAACACATTTGGAGCAGTTTCTAGGAATGTTAAATGGACATTCAAAATAAGTTTGAAAAGATACGTGATAAGTTTGTATAAGTTATTTCTGTATTCTGCCAACTAGAGCTGGAATGAACAATTGGTAACAGCATTAATTGTAATTATTAACTACTTTGAGGAATTTCGAAGCATTTTGATTTATGTTTGTCCACTTTCTTTAATCTGTCGCCCATATATGGCCCGGATGGGGCTAATAAAACAGATGCTATCTTAAAAAAGGGGACCTAATGTTTTACCTCAAAAGTGTATCGGCATATGGAAAGGCATTGGATAAAAACATCAGCTAAATGAAATGCATCAGCATGAGCTTCAACTCGAGTCAACTCACACATCAACCGTGCTCAGTTTTGATAAATAAATGTCTGTTCTTACTGTTTTTCTGGCTGGACCACCGCTATCTTCTTCTGCTTCTGACCTGCAGAAAAAAAGTCTGAATTTAGCTGTCACTCCCAAGTAAATATGTGTGTTTTCTCTCTGTGTGTGTGTGTGTGTGTGTGTGTGTGTGTGTGTGTGTGTGTGTGTGTGTGTGTGTGTGTGTGTGTGTGTGTGTGTGTGTGTGTGTGTGTGTGTGTGTGTGTGTGTGTGTGTGTGTGTGTGTGTGTGTGTGTGTGTGTGTGTGTATACATACAGACAGGTTTGAAAGGAGGGGTTAGAGTGTAAGCGTTGGCCTCGCACCAGCCGACAGGAAAGATGTCCATGGACTCCACATCCACGATACACTCTGACAGGGGCTTCGCCACACCTGGAGACAGGTAGAGAAAGCTGTCACACACACACACAGCAGGAGTCCTCTGACACTTAATCCTCCGACACTTAATCCCCACGCACACACACACACACACACACACACACACACACATGTCTGTACCTTCGAGTCGCAGCCACAGCAGGCGTCCTCTGACCTGTGTGATCTGAGCCACACACACCTCCTCTCGCCGGTGAGGGTTCACCGCCTCTAGCCACATGTCCTTGGCAAAGCTTCTGTTCTTCCATGTCTGAACACACACACACACACACACACACACACACACACACACACACACACACACACACACACACACACACAGACACACACACACACACACACACACACACACACACACACACACACACACACAGAAAAGGGTAATGGAGAAAGAGAGAGAGAGCTATGGTTTATTTTTAGGCCTCATCCACACACAGGGTTTTTTCCACTCACGTTCTCAGAAGAAACCTTGTCCACATATATGCAAAAAATACAAATGAAGTGCTTTCAAGGCAAGTGACTAAGACGCACGCACGCACTCAATAAATCAATTTTAAAAAAGAATGATAGGTAAGAAATAAGAATAGCTAAACATTTCGGCCCCCGGGTAAAATATTCTGACTGTATATATTTTATTTTAATTGATCAATATAGACGAGGCGTGTCCTCTTCAGGGAACCTTGTCAATTGAATTTAAGGATTATTTTAATTGAAAAGCCCATTCTTACGTCGGGGAAGCAGGCGTCGGTGGCAGCCTCCGTCCCGCTCTGCTTCAGGTAGTCGGCCCAGTCAAAGTCGTGGCCCCTAAAGCCCGGGGGCCGCTCCAGAGTCACGCCGTGCTTCAGACACCACTGCACAGGCAGGATGCCGGGGGAGTGGGCGTGGCACACCACAAATCGCGGCTTAGCGTCAGGAGAGAGATCGTCCAGAGTGACCTGGAAGTAGAAGTCGTTGTAGACCTGGGGAGGAAAAGTGAGCAGAGAATTATAAAGGTTTCCTTCTTGGCAAAAACATGTTAAAAAACACATTAATAAAAGGCAGCTGATGTAAGCTGGAGGGAGGAATTGGCTTGATAGTTATATATTTTTAAAGATAAGTCATTGTTGGACTCACCTTGGTGACAGAAACGGGGCAGATCTGCAGCTGCTCCCACGGAGAGACCATCTCCAGCTTCATCCCCGTCCTGACGGAGTGCTTGGGAGTATCCGCGTGGTCCTGACACAATAAAGTCAACACTTTGAGACAAACGTGCTTCACTTCTGTTAATGCGCACATGTGAGACAATGTAGGTCACGTAAACCCTGCTGGGTGGCATGTAATGGATGAAGTAGAAGATAATGACATGTAAAATGGTGGAAGTCTTTCCATTTCTCACCGTGATATTTCGCTCTTTTAGGATACATATTTAGGGCAAATCATGGCATGAACGCAGAGTGAAGTGTGAATAAGATTATTGAAGGTTTTCATTTTTTTTTTTTTTTATATTACACTAATGCAAGACAAAAGAATAAATGTAGACATTTACTAAAGGTGTTACTTATTTCGCAATTCTCAGTAACTTTAAGCATAACAAATTCAAGTTATACAAACAAATAAAAATGTGTGCTGTTGCATAAAGAATCTAGGTTTACACTGGATGCCTTTTTCTTTCTCAGAAACCTGCCATTTTCAAAAATAAACTGTACACAACAATACAGTAAAACTTTATTTTGTTCAACAAATCAATATACGATAATTCCTTGACACATCTTTTCCTTAGTGTTTATGATTGTTCCCAGGTATCAGTTGCACCAGATTCTTATATAGAAATACCATTTTGGAAGTGGTGAACTGATTTATATCTTAGAACAAATTCGATAATGAAATGTTTTCCCCCTGATTTAGGTCTAACATATAAAATAGAAATGACCATATGACAGAAGTGACCCACCTTGAACACCTCCAGCGGCAGCGGGCTCTTCTGTCCGTCGAGTTGAGCTTCCTGCAGAGCCTCCTGCCAGTCTGAGGAGCTTTTAAGAGACCTGAGCCCTTAAGAGAGGAGAGATTAGGTGAAAGGTTACAAATAAAACACTTAGTCAGTTTTCTTTTTAATTATCAACACATAACAAACGTCTGAAAGAAAATAAGTCTCGACTGAATCAAAGTTCCTCCTCGTCTCCACAGCAGTTGTAGGCCTAATCGTTCAGATCCTCACCTGCTGGCGGCTCCAGGGCGAGCTGGTTCTCCAGAGCCCAGCCCAGCGGCCGGAGCCGGACGTCCAGGTAGAAGAGCCAGCTGTCCTGAGCCCGGTGGTCCTCCGAGAGGCCGGAGTAACGCAGACGCAGCCTCCCCCCCACGTTCTGCAGGACTCTCACAGGCCAGTACTGCAGCGGGCCGGAGACGTCCTGCAGCTCCAGAACAGAGCCCTCCACGATCAGATCCACCGTGTTCTTACCCCGCAGAGGCTGAGGGAACCAGATAGTCATTTAGAAATGTCAAAATATTATCTCATGGGATTATTTGTCAAACCATGGATGTATAAAGAAACTGGATAATTAATGCAAAGAAAAACACTAACATTTGCTTACAGAAATAGTAAAAGCTGCATGTTTGTGCATGTTTTTTTAGATGTTAATCTCAAAGATTCAGAATTTAAGATCCAAATGTTCTATTGTAATATGCACAATAGCTACATTGTATTTTTTGGCAACACACATCTCCAATCCCAAGCTCCACCAACAAGGCAACATACAATATCCTTCACATAAAAACAAATAATTGAGTGCATAATTGTAAATTGCAGGATAAAGTACAAGAATAAATACTGTATACTATTATCTATAATGATATGGATTTCTCTTTTCTTCCTAGTGTGTATTGTCCTTTGTCTGTTTTTCTTTTTCAGTTTAAAACAATCATTTGACATTCTGAGTAATGCACTTGTTTGCTTTCTTGCCGAGGGTCAGATGAGAAGATTGATGCCGCTCTCATAACTGTCTGTTCTTCATCATGCTGCAGCCAGCAGCTACATATTTACTGTGCAGACATGACAGCCGTATCAATCTTTTCTTCTTCCAACCCTCCCCTAGATACGGGCACCCTGGTTGTTAAGGGGTTAAGAGCCCTATACCAGAAATCAGGAATCCTTTCATTGTCCCACAGCGGGGGAATTTGCAGTGTCACAGTCAAGGGGACAGTGCAGATAAAACGTAATTGTAAACATATTAAATGTAAAGGAAATCATGAACCCCAGTTTCCCAGGGCTTAACTCTCACGGTCTTTTGTTCCTGTTTTATTCCCCACTTCTCTCTCTGCTCATTATTTCCTGTCCTGTTTTGACTTCCCCATATTTCAAACATATGAATAAATGTTAATCGAGACAAGTTAGATAAACGATATTGTTGCATTATAAAAAATGTAACCCTTTAGCAATAAACCACAGCACAGCATAATACTGCGTTATTGCACTTTATACATTTATATACAATACATTTTTTTAGTAAGTTGAGAGTTAGTATTGGCACAAAACGTCACTTGTTTCTATCATCCAGCCTTTTGTGTTCCGTTCAATGTTCAATTTGTTCTAGAACATCCATTTGTTGTGTTTACGCAGTATACCAGGGCTATTCAATTAGTTTGGAATGGGGCCGGTTGATGAAAATGATCCAAAGCCAGGGGCCGGGAAAAAGATGGCTTGAAATATGAGCAATCATATTAAGAGCTTCAGATACAGTAAATACTACAACAGCGTAGTGGAGTGCATATATTGTGTTTAATTAAAGTAAACAACATAGCCCCAAGGCCTTTATAGATCTAAATGGCAAGTTCAGAACTCAGTAGGCCTACATGTGAAGCTCATTTAACCATCAACATCATTTCATTTGATTTAATTTAGGTGAAATTATCTAATCATTCACGCAGAGATGCAATCAATGACAGGAGTTGTCACTACAGTAGCTAGTAGGTGGGTTCGAAACCCGAGCCCGTAGAAGTTTTCAGGCAATGTCTTCCCCTCTATCTCTCAATGTAACACCCTCTCTGGAATAAAGGCAAAACAAAGACGAAAAAAAACTTTAAAAACTTTTTTAACGTTATACTCAAAGGGCCAGTAAATATCAACCCGGGGCCGGATTTGGCCCGCGGGCCGCCAATTGAATAGCCCTGCAGTATACCAAAGGCAGAATCAAGTACACTTCAATATCTGTTCATTTATTGCAAGTAATATCATTATTGCATTATTCAACAACGAGCATTCGTATGTTCTTAATATCTTCATGCTTTATAACATTTGAATGAATTGGCTAGTTGAATGTATACGTCCTTCTCTTTAACACTACTTATTTATCAATGACATATAGATCTACATGAACTGCAAAAGTAATTGATTTGACTTTCTTTCAGCAAGCATGAAAAGCACTGATAAATGACAGCATTAGGGACTCAATATTGTAGAAATTCTGAACCTTGATTTGTAAGTATCTCATGAGATATTCTCCTCACACTCACCCCCTCCAGCAGGTTTGCCGGTGCCGTCCTGGATCCGGTCAGATCCTGAACGAGGAACTCCGTCCAGTCGCTGTATTTCTCCCTGATGGCTGCAAACACACAACAAACCCAGAGACTGAGAAACACACGGCCAATCAGAGTGAGTGCAAAGAGAGGACAGAGTTGGTTGGTGGTGAATTATTGATAGTTAGACACTACGTTGTAGAAGTATAGTGAGAAGAGCATGCGTTATTAGTGCATGCGTATACTTGCAAACACACACACGTGTCATTTCTACTAAGGCAGATTTTTTATATAAACAGCAGATGTGAAGTATTCTATCAGTGAGCGTCTCTGGATTTGATCCTCTTAGTGCAGCAGAGGTGAGAAAAATGCTGTGTTTTTCCCCTCCATAACCTTAATAGCTTTATTCACACTGCAAACATTAATGCTCGGTGCTGATTTACGGCTGAGATCAGATATGTTTTCAGGCGTGCATATGGCAGTTTCCCGCAGAAGTAAACACATCAAAATGAAAAGCAGTGATTAATGTGGTATTGAGCACTGCCATTTAAATGTTAATGTGCAGAATAGCAGCTGGAAATCTGAGAATAAAATACAAATCGGTCAAACTTAGACAACACTTTTGGTTATGGCCTTTTGAGGAGCAGAACAGAAAACTGTCCAACCTCTTAACTTAACTTGAGAAACTTCTATTCTATCAAATGTTTGTCCTATAATTAAATAACAAAGCGTTTTGATGTGTTTTGGACAATGGTTTTACTCTCTTATGTGTGAACAGATCTTTGTAAACTGTGTGGGGATTAGCAGGACATAAATCCCCACAATGCAACTCTTTGAACAGATTTGTTTGCCTGTAATGTGACCAGTACAACACCACACAAATGCAAACACACACACACCTGGTGGACCAAAGTCTCCAAAGTAGTGCTAAAAACGCCAGCTTCCAGCTCATTTGCATGTGGTTCTGTCTGCTTCCTGTTTCCCACAATGCACCAGTGTTATTGTCTCTTTGCTTTTCCTTTGACTCCTCTCTCTGATATCAGCCTTGTGTTTATGCCTCAACCCTCCTCCCTTCTGCCCAACATGTTTTCCCTCCCTCATTTATACACTAAATGAAAAATAACTCCACTCACATTTGTTGCAGTGAGTTTCAGAATGAGTCACGGTTACAGAATGACTGCAACACCCCGTGTGACTGACATTCCCCACAGCAACATTAGCATCTAGCTAAAGTGAAAATGAAATGTAGTCCACACACTGAAGCATGCTGATAATGAAAACAGGTTAAGGTTCACGTTGTTTGACTCTGATATCTGTTATTTATCAGCCAGCAGCTACTGATTTACTGTCTAGACACGAGAGAGGTATCAATCTTTCACCCCTCATTCCTCACCTCTCCCTCTGCTCATCTTTCTTCTGCCCCCTTTTTCAAATACATTCATTTTCCTAAAAGGTTTGGGTCAGAAACGTTCCTTTGATTGAGACCAGTTAGAGTAATGGTAGTGCTGACTGAACAATATATATATTTTAATCGTTTGTGTTCAGTTCAATCTTCAACTTGTCTAATAAAAATAACAGGATTTTGCACGTTAAATGAAAAGTGAGTTTCACTAGAAAATAGCACCTTAAGTTGTAAATCTTACTTTTGTATTGGTTCATATTGAATATTCAGTATTTGCACATACAACCCACATTGAAAGGGTTATAAATCATCAAAGATTTAGTTATGTAGAAAATGTTGCCTTTTTTAGCCTTCATTTGATTTGGAAATGGTTGTTTAAAAAAGTGATTAAGATTATAGTAAATACAACAACCATTAAGCTCCACAGAGGCTTCTCAGAATGTTAAACACATAATTAACCAAATCAATGAATCCTCTTAAGTCTTGTCTGAATCAAATCAACAATGCTGGAATTAGCTGGAAGATAAATCAGCGTTTTCCTGTGAAGGTAGTGTGAACACTGAGCGTCTCCGAGCGTTTAATAATAGTGTTTTTTCCTGAGAGACTATTTTCTTTCCTTGCCTCTGCTGCTGCTGGACTTTGTAAGAGCACAAACACACACACACACACACACACTGCACACACACTCCTCTGTTGATCTCGGGTGTGCAGAAATAGATAAACTATTTTTACAGATCCTGCTGAGATTAGTCATGAAGCCATTTAGAGCTCAACAGAACAAGAAGCTAAAACATTCAAACTTCCACCTCCTTCCCCCTCTCTCTCTCTTCCTTTCTCCCCTGTTGTCCCTCCCCCATTTTCCAGTTGTATTATACTGTAGTGCTTTTTTCCCAAACCATAAATAATTATCTATTTTTCTTCAGTTCCCTCCCAAAGGCAGCAGACACGTAGAGGTGAAAGCCTGACTTTCACATAACAATAAGTGCATAATTAACCTTGAGGGGAAAGCTCCTCAAAACATCCCCCCCTCCCCCGTACACTATCGCAGAGCTAACCTCCCCCATCTCCCCCCCCCTCCTCCTCCTCCCTGCACCAAAGCTGGCTGAAGTCTGCATGCAAATATCGAGCATTAAAAGGACAAAAACAAACATAAAAGTGGGTGTATGAAATTAGCATATTCTGCCAGCTCCTCTCTAAACAGTCCCGACTTTATTCAAAAGCTTTACTCTAGATAATCAATGTTTTAATTGAACAAGAGAAATCGCCTCAGTTTTTTTTGCAGCAGTGCAACAGATTCTAATCAGAGTTAATGGGAGCAAATTACGCTCGATTCCCCCTCCATCATTACGCTCTGGCACGGAGACGAACAGCCAAAAGGGAAAAGAGTCAAGTCAATTGGACCAATTACCTTCTTCCATTTTGAAATGTCCTTTCCA